GGGGGAAGAGAGCAGTGAACAAATATCGGCCTAGACAGGAAAACAAGTAGGGAATTAAAATCAACAACGAGGAGGATGTAGAGATCAGAAGGAGGAGAGGAGGAGGGGAGGAGGGAGAGGAGGATGGGTAGGAGAGGAGGAGAGGAGGAGGGAGAGGAGGAAGAGGAGGATGGGTAGGAGAGGAGGAGGGGATGAGGATGATGGGTAGGAGAGGAGGAGGAGGAGAGGAGGAGCTGCAGGCCCAGCTTCCAGGGTTCTGGTTTTCCCACGGCAGGTCCTGGTCTGGCCAGGGTTAGGAATCCGCATGCAACATAGGTGACCCAAGTGTGACAGGCTGACATGTGAAAACTACTGCCTGAGGGCAGGGTGCCCAGGGATCCTTGGGGACCTTGCCTGAGGGAAGGTTCTGGCCTGGCAGGTTGGTGGGGTGGGGCTGCAGAGCCCACAGTTTTAATAAGAGCCTCCTGCGGCTGATGTTCCTCATTTAGTTAAGGCACGGGACAGGGCACAGAGGGGCTACTCCCCAAACCCACAAACCGGGGCTCTTTCCTCTCCCTTAGGGCCACCCTCAGCCCACTACATGGTAGTGTTGTGGGCCAGCAATGTACTCTCCTTCCCAGCTAGCAGAGTGTCAAGGCAGCCGCTCGGAGCAGGTACAGGGCCTCCCTCAGGCTCTGGGCCACTTCCCTGGGGCAGCGGCCCTGGGGGACACAGGCCAGCTCAGAGTCCGAAGGGCTGGGCCTGCCATGTGGAACCAGTGCCTCACAAACTCAGCAACCCAGCTCAGCGGACCCTTGGTCAGGGCTCGGGACCCCAGCGTCCACACTGCCTCCTGGCCCAGCTGCCTCTCTGGCCTCTCCCCTGCCCATAGATGAGTCTGTGGCCTTGCCGGAGAGCTGCGGCTGCCTCCCTGGGGGCTGCTGTGGCTGCCAAGCAGTGCCCCGTTGGTTAGATACCTGGAGGAGAAGCCCCAGGTGAGAGCCCTAGGTGAGAGCGGGATGATGTTTCCTGGGAGGGCCCGCCCTCCAGGTGAGGCTCAGAGCCGTGGTGGCTCGGAGCAAGAAGAAGGCTATCCACTTTACTGCCCTCCAGCCTTGCCCTTCTCCTCCCCAGACTTGGGCCACATTCTGGCAGGAGCGATGAGGTCGTGCGAGGCTGTTTGGGGGCTTGCAGAGGGTTGTAACATCCCCAAGGGGACAAGGGCACGCGGGCTCAGGCTCGGGGCTCCCAGGGGTCTTCTGCAGTGCCTGGCCCCTACGGGGAGCTCAGGAGCAGTGGCAGAATGGCTGAGTGAAACCTAGAATCTCAGATTTCACCACGGGCAAAGCAGCTCTCCCCTGAACCTGGAGTCTGCCTCTGTAGCCTCATGGCGGGGGGCTGGGAGTGTAGGGAGGTGGGACTGTGTGTAAGACTGTCCCTAGTGAGAAAGCCAGGGGCAAGCTGGAAGAGGGGAAAGAAGGAGTGTAGTTGGCGCTGATATGCTGTTAACACAAGGCACTGCCCCTCCCCCC